GGGGGGGGGGGCAAAATTGTTTTTGCTTTGGGCGGCAAAAAGCCTAGAGCCGGCCCTGATGAAGTGGCAGAGGTATTACTTCCATTAGTGCAAAGCTCCCCAAACTGTGGGTCGTGGCTGCCTAGGAGGCATGGAGGAACGTTCAGGGGGGCGCAGTGAGACCTGAATCAGCCCCCTCATGGGGTGGGGGGGGAGTGCCATCCAGCCCCACTCCACTTCCAGCTCTGCTCTGGCCGCAGCCCCTGGCCTCCATCCACAGCCCGGCCGCGGCTTTGCACCCAGTCCCGGTTCTGGCTCTGCCCCCAGCTTTGGCCCCTGGCCACAACCCTGACCTTGGTCCCGGCCCTGGCCCTGCTCCCAGCTGTGGCCCCAGTCTCGGCCCCCTTGTCCCTGTTTGTATCCTCCCCCACCCTCCAGGACCGTGAAACAGTTTGGGGATCAGTGTTTTAGTGTTGAAAGCAGGGTTGGCTCCAGGCACCAGCTTGTCAAGCAGGTGCTTGGGGCGGCCGCTCCGGAGAGGGGCGGCACGTCTAGGTATTTGGCAGTAATTCGGCGGACGGTCCCTCTCTCCGCCTGGGAGCGAAGGACCTCCCACCAAATTGCCTCCGCAGATCGTGATCGCGGCTTTTTTGTTTGTTTTGTTTTTTGTTTTGGCTGCTTGGGGTGGTCAAAACCCTGGAGCCGGCCCTGGTTGAAAGTCATGCTATTGTTAATATTCTTTAAGCATATGACCGTGAAAACATATAGCATTCCTGTTTGTACTAGAGGAAGTATTCTATCCCAGTTCTATGGGGATTTTTGTCTCCCTAATCATTCCTTTATAGCATTCCACATTCAGAGGTCAGTAAATCTTCTTCAGCTATATATTAGCCACCATTCAGAGCTAATCAGGCTAGAAATACCTTTTTCTTGGACTAATGTAAGTATTTGCTAGATAAGTTTTCTGGAGTTCACTTCAGGAAAGTTCCTCAGCACGTGCTTGAGTCCACCTCTAGTTTGGCTATCACATAAGTATGTGCTGAATTTGAGGCACAAATTTAAGGTCCACTGAACTAAATGGAACTTATGCCTAAAGTGAAATGGTTAGGTGCTGTCCAGAAATAATGGTTAGGTGCTGTCCAGAATGGGGATGCTTTCCTGAACTGGGGCCTGAAGTATATGTGTGAGAGAGAGAGAGAGAGAGAGAATTCAGAAAGGAAAACTTGTTTTTCTACAGAGGCAGTGTGAACCAATAGAGAGAACATTGTACTGGAAGTCAGGGGACGCATTTTCCATTCCTAGCTCTGTCATCACCTTGAACCAGTCACTTTCTCTCTACCTCAGTTTCTTCATCTTTAAAATTGGGATAATAATGCTTACTTGTATTTATAACAGCACTGGAGATCTCCAAGTGAAAATGTTTATTTTAGCTGATCTTCATAAAATATTCTGTTTCTTTCTAGAAGGAAAGTAAATATGTGGAATAACACTTCACTTTTCTAATAAATCTGTTTAAATACCTTTCCTTAGTACCAAATGCTATATAATATTTTGGACTTAGTTATAGTTTTGAGACTAATGAAATAGCACTAAAATTGTGGGTAATACTGCTGGCTGGAAAATAGAAATAATTTTTCATGATAATTTTCATGAAAATTTTTTTGTCTTCGAAATTTCATTTTGACATTCTGCCTAGTTATTCTATGTAAAAAGTATTTGTCGGGTGTAAATAACTATTGCACTTCCAAGTGCAGCTTTTTATGACTGTTTACTAAATGATTACTTTGTAAGTTGATGACATCGCTGGAATTTAGTATGACAGTTTCAATAGGAGCCAACCTTCATTTCAGTTTAAATTTTAACAACGAAAATAGCTGGACTCTCTTAGAAACAACAAAACTTGTAATGGTCAGAATCAGACCAGTAAAACAGTTCCTATGTCAATAATATCCCAGCTGTTTTCAATTTAATAAACAAAACCTGAAAAGACTTTGGCTAGTTGCCATTGAGACAGATGGAGATCCAGGATTCTGAATGCAATTTAACAGCAGTTCTCTGCCCCCTCAATTTAGTTTATTTGGATTTGTCTCTCATATACAGAACTCTTAGAGCTAGAAACAAATCCACGGTTTTATACTTCCCCTACTGGGACTCTTACTGTTTTCTATGCCTGCTCATATTTATTGCAAAACTAAGGAATTATAAAAGAGGCTAGAGGCTTGGGAGCTAGCATTTTAAACACTGGAAATATTATATAATCCAAAGTGCACCAATGGCAAGTTATGGTACAGTTCTTGACTTCTGAGTAATAAAAATGTTTAACTTACTGTAATTCAATAAGTTTTAATGGTGAAAAGGATGGATTACATTTTGTAAACCCTTCCCTGTTATAATGATTACCCAAAAGTGGATTATTTTTTGTACACGCCAGCCTAAAAAGGATTAGGAAACCTGTAGCTTTAAAACATTTCCCTAGATACATTGGCCCTGGCTGCCTGTATGTGAAATAAATAAGTAACCATCAGTAAATAATAATAATAAACTGAGCGTTCATAAGGAGGTTAATTTAAAAAGACATTTCTTCTTTGGCAGCTGCAATATTTTTGGTCACACCATAGGGCGCTGCCCATATCTCATTGGAAACCGTAAAGGAAACAGAGTCAACAGGCTTTTCCAGGGCTTTTATTTGGTCTAATTTTCTTCTGTTATTTATATAATGACCTCTTCCTATGGCACAATTAGCGCTGGAAAGGAAACCTCTTGTGATCATCTTGTGATATGGATCTGAGTGCATCAGGGCAGTAGGAGTCCAGCAGTCCTGAGCTTTGCTTAACATTTTTAGCACAATTTCTTTTTCTTTGGGTCTTTACATGTCCTGTTGTGTAGCACAATGCAAATATGTAAGCAGTGTTCATGATAATTATTATATACAGGAATGTCACCAGCAGGCTCTGTCTGGCTCTTTTTCCTTATTTTAAAACAAAACAAAGCAGGTTCTCTGTCTGAGTAGCAGCTAACTGTGTTTGCTAGAACATTCAAATTAGTCAGGGATGACAGTAAACAATTGCACACTGAAGTAGTATGTTGTAAAACCTGAATCAAGGTCTTCAAGAGTGACAAGTGATTTTAGGTGCTTCAGTTTCTGAGTGTCCAACTTTTGAGACACTATAAAGGAGCCTATTTTTGAGAGAATGGGTGCTCAGCGTTTTATGAAACTGAGGCCCCTTTAAGGTGTTTCGAGGTGAATAATCCAAAATCACCAGTCCCTCTTGACAGTTTTGTCCCTAGTACTATAGATGAGATGCAGTACCAAGGTCCAGACCACTTGTGAGAAGCAGTGTGTATATCTAATGGTTAATGCATAGACTGGAACACTCGTTAGTGAAGACTGTCTTTGGGAGGTTAACATTTACTGTGTCTTGACCAAATTCCTATTTGGAGCATTTAGCCTACGTCCAATTCCTCCTGCAGTTTCTTGTGGGTATGATATTCTTCTTCACTTCCTGCCATAAAATGTAGTGTAGCATTGCTGTTTGATATTAAACAGCTGCCATGTTTCACCCTAGATGTGTATCTTTTTTTAATGTTGGATGAAGTGATTCCAGTTTGGAGCCTGAATACCAGTATATTTGTAAAGTAAACAACAGATAGCAGCAAAAGTAGTTAGAAAGTGTTGCAATGACAGATTAATTAATATTTTATAACTTTGCCACAGCTTGAGCACATTGTGGCTCAAAAAATGTATCCTATGTTACGTGGATCTGGAATATCATCTCTGGAGCTATGGCTGTAAGTTTCCCCGATAGAAAGTATTACACTAGTCATCCGGACTTGGTGATTCTTGTGCCTCAGACCTTTGAAAAATGAGATGTACGTTTGGGGGGGGTGGGGGTTTCTATGAAGAAGAGAAAAGAGTTCGTTTTATAGACTGGTTTTCTTCTGGGAAAGGTCAGGTCAGAGGAATACAGGTTATTTTAGGGGTCATATACCACTGAGCCAGTCCTCCCTTCTGCTAGACAATAACCAAGTACTATATTTTTTTAAAGCTCTGCATTTGACTGTATTCTGCCTGCTAGTGCATTTTGTTAAGAGGTGAGTGTGGATTTTTTTGAAAATCAGTGCCACAATCTACAAACTCAAACTAACCACCTTCCCATATGCTTACAAAGCCCATGATTTACTGCAGCAACTGTGTAACGTACTAAGTGCTCTCAGAATTGTTACAAAGACAAAAAAAGGAAAGTTCACACTCATTTTATGTTCTGATCTTGTTCTGTTACTTCCATGTGTTGTACTTTTGGTGCTAAAATGCTTAGTTTAAGTCTCTGATTCAATTGTTGATAACTAGAGATGCAAAGTAGAGCTCTGAATGGGACTAGTGTAGAGCCCTGCAGCGGGATAGGGACCCCGCGGGTCCTGCAGGACCCGCTGCCATAATAGTGTGAGCGGAATTAAAAAATAGTCCTGTGCAGGGCTCTAATCCAAAGCAGTAGTTCTGCAGGCCAGTCATTTGATATGATCCAAGGTTACTGTTCTCTGCTACACTGCATAATCCGATAGTGGGCAGGCTTTGCCAAGGTAACTGTTCTTGGCATTGCTCTTAAAATGGTCTATCTGGCCCCACCCTTTGGGTCAGTTACAAAGGACTGGTCTTCACTACCTTAAAAAAGGCGTGTTCTTAATTTGGTCTTTAACTTGAACTGCTAACTTTTGTGAAAACAAACTTCCTTGTCTTCACTAGGATTTTAACTGAAGTTAATAACATGCTTTTTTAGTGAAGACAAGGCCACAACTGACTCAAACATTATCTGTTTTTCCTGGCTGGAACCCACGTTTCTTTATCCCTGTGTCCCCCACAGCTGCATAGGAAGATATTGTGTAATGCATGGGAAGAACTGTAGTCCCCCATTGAGGTCTTGACCTCCCTGAGGCAAGGCTGGAGCTTTCTGTGGATTGTGGCTTCATTTAGCCATAGGCTAAATGTGATAATATCACAATCAGTGATTGTAACAGAAGCCATCAATCAGGCATCTATCCATTTGATGGGATTATCCCATAGCTGGGTCAGGAGTCATTGGAACTAGCCAGGGGAATCCCCTTCTAGACTTTATAAGGAGTCTCCTCCCAGGTTAGTATTTAGTGAATACCACTGGTCATGCTTGGATCAAACCCTGTGAACCTTAAAAATGCATCCCTGATTAGATGGAGTGAGAATTTTCTGGAATATTTTTATTAATCCTATGTGTGCCTCAGTTTCCCTCGCTACTTTGCATTGTAAAAAAAAAGTTTGACACCTGCTAAAAGAGTGCAGGAGGTCTGGGTGTCACCTGGCTGCCTGGGGGCTGGCTCATTAAATAACTGTCTCAAACGGAACCCAAATCAACTTAGCATCTAGCAAGAGATACCTCTGAAACATCAACACCTGACAGCGGCACACCCCAGCAGGCAGGACTTGTGAACTGAGTTGGAAAACAAGGTGTCAGGTGACTGGAAGAAGGGCAGCCCTTTTTAGAGGGACTCAGGAGCCCAGACCTGGGGAGACAAAAGATGGATGGGGGTGGGAGCCAGAGATGGAGTTTATTTCAGCTTGGCTGGCTCATCATGGTACTGGCTTGGCATGTACTATAGTGTAATTTCTGCCTCTCTGTGCTAACCTAAGCACTATAAGATTCCGTGTGCCAGGTGACTTGCTTTGAAAAGGCTTTTTGTGTCATTGTAAGTACTCCCTGAGAGCATTGCGTCCTGAGGGGCACAGTATCAGTCTCCCGCAGGACTCTGGCTTGGCTGGATTCACTGCAGAGAGCCATGGAGACAGACAGGGATTGTGGGTGCCGAAGGCCCAGTCTTGGAGGCCACAGGCCTGCCCCTGTTGGAACTATGTGTGTCCTTGGGGCCTGGGCATAGACCAGACTCCGTGACAGCCTGCATGTTGTTTGAGCACTTTTTCCCTTGGTTAAAGCATAAAATTTTATTCAACCAAATCTCACGTCTCTGAAAATGGAGCTCCACAAGACTTTTGGGAGGACTGTGGAGCACACTTATTCTCTCACAAGAACAATTTCCTTGCTGCATATCAGAGAAACTGGGCTTCTCTTTTTAACGCTAATGATCTTTTAACTAGTATTGTTGTCTTCACTTTTAATTGATTGAAATGTATTAACAGAACAAAGGCTCAATCGGAGATTCACTTATTGTGACATTTTATGGACCTAACAAATTACCATAAACTGGCAGTTAAGAAATGCGAACGTTTATAAAAGTTTGAAAGAGAGCTATTAGCTAAAGCTGAGAAGAGAAATGGGGCTGTTCCATGATAACAAGTTTCCTTATAAATACCTTAGGTAGATTCATGGAGAAGATGACATTGAATTAAATGAATCTCAAGAAAAAACTTTTTTTTATTAAACTTTTTACATCTGCAGGTTCCTCCAGGATCACCTCACAATCCAGCAAAAAGAACATTCTCCCTTATTTTGCATTTTCTCTATAAACTTGTGTTTCTTTTTTTTCCAGGATGATGGCCTTCCAGAGAATGAGCATCAGCTTTCAGTAGCTGGGAAGATAAAGAAGCATTTCAATACAGGGCCGAAACCCAACAGCACAGCAGCTGGAGTTTCTGTCATAACAGTAAGCATCTGAAATACATAGCTATAACATTTTAAAAAGTTCCCACAAAACAGTCTATATTCAGAAGATGACACCAAAAGACAGCAAGAGCTCCGCTACTACTGTAAAGTGTTGCCCGTGTAGTTGAAATTAGTGTAACCATTTCAGATGCAGTTATGCACGAGTGTTGCATACCACACTACACACAATTGCTAGCTGCATCCTTTCAAGCAGAGATTAAACCGGGTAAAGATTTAGTTGTGCTGCATAATATAGTTACAATCTAGATATTGTCTGAAAGTAATGGCACTTGTGAGACCATCTCAACCAAGTCCAGCTAAGTGTTATAGGCACATGCAGTGTAGTATGCCTCACACAAATTTGTATTTTTCCTCCAAGTTGATCGTGTCTTTCTCTCTCTCTCACATGCACACGCACACACACACACACGCGCAATATTCAGAATTTTATTAGATTCTTTATGCTAGTACCATTGAACACTAACTATCTGTTTTATCCACATTCACATCCTTTCCTTATTTTTAATACATCTGCCTGTGCTTTAAAGTCTTTTTTTTTTTTTTTTATTACTCATGGTAATGTTAATTCTCCAGATAAAGTCACCAAAAAATCAGTGACACATTGAACATAACCATTCCCATATCAGATTACTCAGTGTTTGTTCCCAGTTTCCATAAATTGCAGATGGTGTGACTGCACATGTACACTGTCTCGTACTGTTTCCACTTTCATGTTCCGCAGCTCGGCCCCTCCAATGGTGAGTTAAATCAGCATGAAATAAACTCAGCTCAACAGGCACAATCTGGCTCACAGGTGTGAACTGTTTGTGCAGCAAAATGGATACTTTCTCAGAAGTTACTAAGTATTTAACATTTCAAGCTGTGCCTCTCTACTTTTTTTTTTTTAAATAAAAACTACCTCAACACGGAAACAAAATTGTCCTTCATGCTTTTCTTAGATTTTCAACTTTCTATGCCATCAGCTAACATACAGTCAGCTTTTTTTATTTTCATTTTCTAGCAATAATACCACAGTAACTCTCCCACAAGTAAAACATCACATACTCTGTACCCATTGCTCGTATGAAATGCAGGTATGTTCTGAACAGCTTAGTTCAAACTGTGTTCTTTTCAAATGGATTGCCAGCACGCTTGTCCATAAGAAGTACTGCTCAGTTCCTCTTTGCAAGGCTTTCAAAGCTTAAAAGATAGAAACGATGCTTCCCCTACCCGCTTCCTCTTTTAATTTTTAAAATATTTTTATTTGTCCCAGTTGGTCTGGAAATGGATTGTTTACAGCAATTTGACATTTTAGTAATGAAAAAGGCATTGGTGAAGTGAATCTTTCCATTGACAAACACTATAGAAATAAATAAAACAAAAGCAAAAAAAAAAAACCTCACTGAATTTGATAATGTGTTAGAATTTAAATAAGTACATTTAATGAGAGCATCTTTCTGAGTAGATACCACACCTTGGTGTGGTTAATTCTGGAGTTCTGCCTCTTAACTAGCAGTATTTTAAAAATATTGTTATAAAATCCAGAAAGTGGCTTAATTAACTAACTTCTTTCAGTAACTTTCCTAAAATTGGGGGACTACAAACATCTGTAGTGCATGTGTAAAATTTAAGGCAGGCTGGCAAGTGCTGATTTAAATATCAAAAAACTTTTATATACTATGCATAACGCACGTCTTAATAAACAGAATAAATAAAACCCAAAGCAAAACCTTTAACCAATGTGCCTGCATTTAAAAACAAATGTAATACAAGTTTGGCATGGGATTGTCGTTAAAATTTTACTTTCAGGAATCTCCTTTTTTACTTATACAATGCCAGGTAATATTGATATAAAGCTTATTAGCTAAAGCTGTTCTAAATTTATAATTTACAAAGCATATGCTCCCCAAATGCTGGAACATATTGTTCAGCACTAAAAATGTACAATAAGTATATCTTAACCCTTTTTAAAAAAATCTGTTTTATGGTGCTGATATATGTGTATACTGTAAATTATATAAAGGGATAGCTAAAATACTGTATTTAGTTCTCAATTCAACTTTATAGTGATATTCTTTATTATACATATGCCCTTAGGGTAAAATTCACCACTGTATGAGGGTCCCACACAGGGCTCTATATATCAAACCTTTAATGTGGGGCTTAAATTAATAAGGATTTGTGCAGGTCAGTTGGGCTGGGGGGAATTGCACCCCTAGTTTGTTTGTTGTTAGGTCAGAGTCATCTGTAGGTGTATTTTATTTATTTATATAAAACACTTTTAGTAGACTGTTGATTTCTTCAGTAATATCCAAATATATTGTATTGACCCCTTTTGCTGAGGCATACATTTGCTTTGGTTATATAATCCCCAGTAAGAATAGTATCTGTTCATCCAGGTTCCAATCCTACAAACACTCACGCATATTCTTAAACTTTACTACTGTCATAAAGTTAATCATGTGCATAAGTATTTGCAGGGTTAGGGCCCTAAAACAGATATGACCAAAATATTTAATTTTGAAGTTCCATGACTGCATTTTTCTTGTATATAAATCTTACATTTCACTAAAAATGTAAAATGCATGTTTAATAGCAAGCATTTATTAAATAATCTGTTTAAAGTTTAGCACTAGAATTTTTGTTGAATTCTCCAAGGATGTCGTCACACTCTTTCCTTTGAATATTTTAAATTAATGACTTGACTGCTTAGTTATAATGTTTCCAGCCACTAAAGAAGAGAGCTGGTAATTATTTCTCAAATAAAAACAGATGTTTTGAAAGAGTTTTTAAAAAAACAAAACAATACTCTGTGTCAGTACCCTATGGGTTTGTAATGATACTCTTTCTGTCTGAAATAATCAAGAGGAAATAGAAATCAATTTTAAAAAATGCTTTAATATTCAAAAATATATTGCAATACATTCTATTAACTGAGCATAGTTCAATTTGTGTTCATGTCTGGAATGTTAAAGCTTTGCTTGTATGTTGTCACTTTTGTGCTTGTTTTTTTGGCATTATTAAGACAGAAGAAAAGACTAATGATAACATTATGTTAAGGTTGTGTGAGGTCCCTGACTTGGCTACGGGAGTAAATCCCAGCTTGAGGCTCACGGGAACCATGTAGCATAAAGAAAGAAAAAAGCTGTTCTGACAGCTGATGGTCTGCCAATGTGTCTAGAGATGGTAACCAATTCCTCTGTCTGCAGCATTCTGCCTGTCGCAGACAGCCTCTGTCATCTGTGGAAACCAAATTGGTGCTGCTTTATCATGGGGTGGGGGGGAGGAGGGAGTGAGGTATTTAAAATGCATTCTAGTGATTATAAAATAAAATTAAAAGTGACATTTTAACAGTGGGCTTTTCTTAAGATGTGGGGAAGAGAAAACAGCTTTAGTCTATTAGTTTTGCTCGGTTTGAGGAAGAACCTATGACTTAAAATGTCACTTCATATCTGTTGTTGTTCTATAATTATTATTTATAATCTGTTTTTCTTAGCCTATAGTCTTCATGGTAACTAAAATATTGTTTGACTTCTGCTTAGATAGATGTAACATTTCAAAATTCAAAGAATAAATCCCTTCCTAAAACACTTGAAACAGCATTCTGTTAGTTGTCATATTTTAGTGCCATACTTTTTATTTCTATTTTTAAAAAACCTTGTCTTTTGTGTACTTGAGATGCAGTATAATAGGCTGCCAGCAGATGGCAATAGTAGATCAATCTACTGAAACTCAATGAAAAATGAAGTATAGGTGCAAGGTCCTCATCTTTTGAACAGGAAGTGTCCTTTAAATAATTCTAAATAAGATGAAACATGCATTGATTTAAGAAAACAGAATAAATTATTAAATATTTCTCTTTATGTCTGTATTGAAAGTGTAAGTTAAATTTACGGGTAGATGCTAACTACAGTTTAAATAACTGGTACTTAGAGACATGTTAACCGGCCTTTCTCAATTTAGAATTTATAACTATCATGAGTATTGCACCAATATGCCATAGTCTTAATGAAACACACAATGGCCTTTCCTTTTGTAGGGCAAAATGTGAAAGTTATGAAGTTCTTCCGATTAAACTGGGCTGAGTGTCTCTCTTTCAAGTTTTACCCCCTAAAATTGTATCTAATCCTCTGTTAAAGGCTATCCCAAATACATGTTAGTGCAGAGTGAAAAGGTTAGAGAAAATAACACACTTTCTTTCTTTTCTATGCACATTCCCCTGCTAATGATAAACTCAATTTAGAACAATATATACAACTTAAAGTTATATTTTTAAGCACACACTTTACCAGATTTTTTTTTACACAATACTAAGTTCATTTTCCATTTTGACTTTAATTGGTGCAATTTAGCGAAGATTTTACGTCACAGTTTTCTACCATTATCTTCTTAAGCCTGAGATGTAAGGTGAAATGATAAACAATGCAATGCTGTTCATGAACTTGAGAAGTCCTTCTCTCCAAGGCTAACATTTAAAGAAAACAAACAAACAAAAACCAAACTGGATTCTTTTAAACTTTACACATGCCATAATTATGAAGTAGTCTAATTTAAGCCTCATATAGTCTGTGTAGCCTGCTTCTTGTGATGGCTAACACTGTGTTTTTTAAAAATTATTAAACCTCTGTTTAATTGCAAAAGATATTTTTCATTACCATTATGTGCAACTTAAAGGGGCACTTCTATATTTGGAGATAACAGGATATTTGTTAGACTTTTAAATGAATGCATAATGCATTAAGTTACTTATTTCGCAAACTCCATTTCAGTTTAAATAAAATGGCTTCTAATATAGCAAGATAGGGCTCGTTTCTTTTTTTTCTTTTATTCTTTTTCTTACTTTTTGTCTCCAGTGCATAGATTCAGGATGTTAGATAAGTGCCTTGTGAAACTGAAAACAGTCAATATGCACTAAATAAGGAACAGCTTGGTCTGGAGTCTTAATTCTTTAGCATAATATCGATCCACTGAGTTGCCCCATTTCTCTCTGCTCAGCTGGACCACGGGTTTACCATCAAGAGATCAGGGTCTTTGGACTACTACCAACAACCAGGAATGTATTGGATAAGGTATGAGATGGTGCAGCTCCAACAGTCAGTGTTTCCATGGCAACGTGCTGGCAGTCTCCATTAACCAGTTCCTTCAGTGGATAAACATGCTTTTTGATTTGTTATCCAGTCCATATGCTGCTTTATCAGTTTCATTTTAATCTTGATTGAGATGCCACACCCCCTCATTCCCTTTTTTTCCACCCATTATTCACACTGACATTGCCAGCTTTCTCTTCATCGCACATGCTCAGTTTCAATTTTCCTTATAGTTAAAAGGACAGTGTATATAGAAAATCTACTGGATATGTTGCAGCAATTTGCCTCCTCTCTCCGCCCCTCTTTCCCCCCCCCCCCCATTGCTGGTTAAGGCATCTGCTTCCTGTGCACTTCTGTTTTTAAACACCTGGAACAGCAACAAGGTCTCAGCATATTTTTTTCTCTTCTGTATGAGATGTGGAACTATATACTGTCATTTTGAACCCATCAAACACAATCCTTACCTTAGATTCAACAATGCATTTACCTAACATAGTACTTAGAAGCTCTCCAAAGTTTACTGAAATATAATGCATTGTATGTGCTGGTAAGCTTGTGTTTTCTAACTATGCACATTTATTTTTGTTCTCTTTTTATTTTTAAAACTCCTTGTAGTTCTTTATTTTTTTAACACTATTGCATGAATCTGTTTTTAATATTTTCCTACATTGCGTAACTGTGTCAGGGTTGTTATTAGTTGACTTGACCTGTACGATCAAATGGGACCTTGACTGGGGTGGCGATTTCTGAATGGGTGAAAAGAGGGATTCTGCTGATTGCTGATGTCAGGCCCATACCGCCTCAATCAGTCAGGTGTCCCTGGTATTTTCATCAAGTGTTTATTTGCTGGCTATTGTCCCCTTATTGCTCCCAGGGTTTGACTTGTGATAGCTAGAAAGATAAAATGAGTCCCTAGTGAATATTTTTGCAAACACTATGGTTGTTCAAGCCCAGATAAATGCTTTTCATGGTGGGGATGGAGGGGAGGCCTGTTCTGTGTATGGAACAATTCTACGAATTAACTTCATTAGCAAAATGGTAATGTTTACAGTAATGTAGAAATCTGTCCCTCATATCATTTCACTGATTGCATGAATCAGACTACAGTACAGTTTCCACAAAAGTTACCAGTCCCCGAACACACCAAAAATATGCCTATGAAAATTCAATAGATTTTGAAATGGACATGGAGGAGAAAAGCAGCTCTTCTTCCATGACGTACTGTTCAGTTGAGAAGCAAAAAGTGAGTCCAGGTACCCCATATAGATGCTGGTTATGGTGACTAACCGAGAAATAGTTTCCATACAGGTGCTCAAATTTGTACTGGTTTGTGCAGTACACTAATTAATATTTTGTGATTGGGACTTATTGAATCTTCTACAAATCACGGAGTGTACTTTAGTCATCTATTTTCTCAATTGACAGAATGCTTCAGAGTATCCTAGTAAATAAAATGTTGTGTATTTTGTAAAAATAATATCCTAGTGAGACCCGCACTATGGCATTTGCACTTTCTCTTTATTGAGAAATGGAGGGAATCACTGGTATGTTCTGTGGATTATAAGTGGGAGGTTTAGCAAAGTATAGGCTAGAGGAGTCTTATCATAACTTTTTCATTTTGCTCATTGAGGAAAGATTATATTTTGAATCAAATAGAATTTGTCAAAGGGCTAAAACGTTTTGTTCTGACTAGCATCACTATCTATGATGTGCCTGCACAGCTCTTTTACTGATACTGTTTTTTAGTTTTATACAAAGACGGAATCATTGTGTTTCTATTTGTCATGTAGGTCTCTATTTAAATGAAAAAAGTCTCCACCCAGCATCAGAGAGCACAAACCTCTAGAGCGAGGCATTTGTGATAAAATAGTGAAATGTTTCTAATCTGACTGGCCTTGACTCAGTTTAACTATGTAGCCCAGGTTTTAAAACAAACCGTACATCTGGGGGCTTTGGGGAAGACTCCAATCCAGCAAATAGGTAAATAAATAAACAATATAAAAAAGGCCATTTGACTAAAACGCTAGTAATGGCTTCCATCAGCATACAAAGTGACATATCCTTGAATAATGGGCTGGAGCAGACGGGTGATAATCTCTCTTATTCATACATAAACTGCTTCTTTTCCAGCTGGGGGCAGTAACAATGTTTATAATTAGTGATGTTCTAAACAGTGCACCCAGTGTGTAAAACCAAATTGGTAAAGTGGTGCTAAAACTCATAGACATATATGCTTAATTAGGAAATGTTATAATACCTGATAGTCCCAGAACCAACACTATTATATACACGTTATCTGCATTGATTGCAAATGCTTCGTCTTTCATCTCCATAGAAACAGGAGCATTCAAATAACCACTGTAGTGACCAACATTTTAATATAAATAGTAAAACTATTTTCACTTAGTGATTGTTTATACTATTCATAGAACTTTGCAAATTCTTAAAGATAATACATACAGGGTTCATCCCTTCACTCTTATACAACAGTTCATTTGCCACAGGTCTTGAAAACTCATCTGTGATCACAAATATGGCCAATATATAAAGACGGATCGAAAGAGAGATGTAATGCTCATACGTGCTTTCATAATTGAACTCTTGATTTCTTCTCTTAACCACTGATCCTTTTCTTATTTGATCCTCTAGTTTCTCATATTCTCCTCCAACAATGACAATGTTTGTACTTTCAATAAACCAGAAAACCATTTCCTTACTGTAGTCTAAATGTGTCCCTCCCTAATGTGCTCAAGATTCCTAATTCTGCTTTTGAATGCTAACTTTGCCCCCTCAGAGCGTGCTATTCTTCCTCTGTTGCCATAAAGAGCACCTGCAGTATTTTAAATGTAGTGGCTTTGTTTCCTGAAAATATTTTCACATTGAGATGAAGTACACTTAAAAATCTTTTCTTGAAGTAACAATTGCAGCATATTGTGCATAATGACTGGAAAAAATATTACACAGCATTTTGTGTATACAAATAACAGAAAAAATATGATAAACTAGTTCAGTAAAAGAAGCCTAAATAAAAATAGTTGGATCATGTAAATTGTTTAAGCCCCAAATGTGATAAGTTTTAAAAACTGCATATATTATTGTAGGATATGTACTCCCAATGACACACTCTTTTCTCTGCAATTATAGATGAGCACTCTGGCTGAGCAGATCTGTGAACACCTACAGTGCTCTGTATGCAGAGATGTTGTTTTATAGCAGCAACTCCATGCTCTTCAGAGCTCCTTTTCTAAAAAGCCAAAAATAAAATGTACATTTATTGCAAGTTATCAACTATTGGATGTTCATTGACAAAAACAAACAAACAAACAAACCTGACCGGTTTCTTGCCCTGTTATAAAAAAATCTCTGTTTAGGGTTTATTTAATTGAGGATCTTAACAACCTGAGAGTGTTTGGTGAGTTTGCTGATCTTCATGGATTTAAGTCAGAATATTAACAGGGAATGGTGCCATTGACTCCAGTGTTGCAATGTTGCAATATATTACTTGAGCCCCTTGACGGAAGTCCATTTTGACTTCAGTACTTTGCATAATTTAGCAAGAGAAGGTCAATTGAATTTCTCTACTCTTGCAGCTTTATGTCTGAATCTATACATTTTTTTAACCTATTGTTGATAGTGTTGTTTGAATCTTCTGGCTTTTGAGAGTTGAAATCAGAATATTAAGAATACCCTAGAACAGGTGTACCTAGAGTAACTTCGTTTTTAATGGTGATATGTCCACTGACATTCTATAAACTCCAGTGGAGCTAATATGATATCAGGAAAATGTGTGGGAAAGTCATTAAAATATTTATCATGTAATGACAGAGGCAACTGCATTGGGCTTATCCATTGATTTTGTAATGAAATTGTAGCATCCTAACAACATTGAATTCATGTAATCATTGACTTTTAAAAATATGATGCTCACAGTAGCTGCATTTTTTTTCAAGCTGAATAACTCATTTCAAATTCCAAAATCCCACTCTGTTCATACTGGACCTGATTCTCCATTGCATCTAGTACCTACACCTGCATCTAGTCATCTACACCTGTCCAAACTGCTACAAAGTCAAAATACTGAATTTATATGTTATATGCCCTTTGTACAGATGTAAGCAGGGAGGGTGCAAGGATGTTTCACACCCTAGATGAAACTTCCACCTTGCATCACCCCACTCCCCGAGCCCTGTGGCAGCTCCCCGCACTAAGGCGCCTGCCCCGCGGCAGCTCCCCACCCCCCCCAGCCCTGAGGCGCCCCCTCTCGCGGCAGCTCCCCCCCTCCACCCTGAGGTGCCCCCCCCCCGCGGTAGTTCCCCCCGGCCCGGGGAGCGGTGCGGCAGCTCCCTGCTCCAGCTCACCTCTGCTCCGCCTCCTCCCCGAGCACACCGTCACTGCTCCACTTCTCCTGCCTCCCAGGCTTGCGGCGCCAATCAGCTGTTTGGCACCGCAAGTCTGGGAGGGAGAGAAGCAGAGCGAGGCGGCGTGCTCAGGGGAGGAGGTAGAGCAGAGGTGAGCTGGGGCGGGGAGCGGTTCCCCTGTGTGCCCCCCCCCCCTTACTTGCTGCAGGCGGCCTTCCCCACGTCCCCCTACCCCAGCTCCCTCTGCCTAAATGCTGATGACGACCGGGGCGGTCGAAGATCCGGCCGTCGCCGAAGGACCCAAAATGCGACTGCCTAGGTCGCCTAATGGGTTGCACTGGCCCTGGATGTAAGTGACTGCACAAGGGGCAAGCTGGTGGGCAATCATACTTTATCTGTAAAATTTACTTTTTTCAAAGAATGAAGCCCTTCTGTAAATTTGACCATGCCAAATATCTCAAGTCATTTAAAATCTCTCTGCTGCTCTGTGACTAAGAAAACCACAACTGAATTACAAATTATAAATAAAATTGCACCCATGCAAACAGCTTTGAACTAAGTTTCATACACATGTAATTTAAACCAGCTGAGAAGTCATATCCCTAAGAACAGAGATGTTAAATAATAAACATAAACTGAAATACAGAATTGTGAATCCAGTGGTCATGCATGTACTATACTTGTCCTTTTCTTATGTACCAGTACAGTATGAAATGTAAATGAAACTGGGTTTTTTGGGGTGGGTGGGTGTAGGGGAGGTTGTGTATATACCTGAGAAGCCTGTGAAGAAACCTATGCAAGACCTCTTGTCCTAACGCAGCAATAGTAGCAGCTCTACAGTATTAGTGGTCATTTTTACCATTAATAAAATCTACTGTAACACATCACAACATATTGAGGTCATCAAACAGAACCTTATAAAAATAGAATAAATTACCCAGCTGGGAACATCTAAACATATGTTTTTAAAATAATAAAACAGGAGGAAAATGTCAATATTTCAATAATGTCAATTTAATTCCATGTGCTAACAAAGTATCTCCAAAATGGCAAGCAAATTGCAGATATTTCCCTGCAGATGGACAGTGAGAGAAGGAAAGGGTTTCTTAGACTAATGCGTGAACAGCTGCATCTCCAGTTCAGTCTCCTAGCTAGTATGAATAATGGATGGACTAAGAGGCAAAATGCACAATAATGTTCTTTTATTAATGAAATGAAGAATTTTTTTTTTGGTGGCTAACAATAAATTAAGAGAAGAAAAAAGAAAAACAGTCACTGTTCGCATTAATAAAATACAGTTACTTAAATCCAGTAATTACTGACTGACAGAAAATATGACCTAACAGCTAAAATGGATTCTTCCCATTGCAAATCCAGCACATATTTAAAAGCAGATGTAGTAGTAAGCACCTATCCAGACGCACCACATTCAATATTAGCCATGGAGAAAAACTTGCGTGTGATTCGGGAGTGCTGCAACATTACCAGTTAGAAATCAGCAAAAAAAATCACACATGATAAATCTTGGAGAAATGGTAAATGCCCCGTATTAGTATGACAGGAACAATGACTATAGAATATGTCTGTTGCTTCAAAATACATAATTTTTATTCACAAAAATAGCTTGTTGGCCATATGGTACTGGGTATCAGGAGTACTAAATGTTGATACAAAATACATTTGTGCTTAGCAAAGGATGCTGCAGACTGATCAGCACCAAACTATTGAAGGCAATCCACTTACCTACTATTGGATAAGTAGCTTTACATTTCCTCAGATGGATTGTATGAGGACGGCTACATATCTTAACTAAATAACTATAGTTACATTTGGTTACCACCAATATAGTCTGGTCCTCAAAGTTCTCACTCTCTCACCTCAAGCTGAGAAAAAATGCTAAAATATGCTAATGAAAATCTGGGATTTGCAGCCCTGTGAGGCATGAGTGTACTTCAGATCCTCTTATTATTTATTGAAAGAATAGCTTAAAGTAGAAATGCCCTGAAAATCCATAACGGACCAGTTCCTGCACCAGTGAACCTTCCAGCTGAATAGCAGATGAAATAATAAATCTATTAAAGCAATACTGTATTTGCTGAGCATCCAGACAATGTATTTAAGAGGTCTTCGCTCCAAAAAGGTTACCGATTTGGATCACAAATTAACCATTTTTTAGAATATGCCCCTAGATGAGACAAGGTACAATAAGTAAAAACATGCATTCTTTTCTTTCTACAGTGTACACAACCATTTCCCCACATTCCACAGAATTATCTGTTGCATGCTGAACTTCTTCAGAGGAGAGCTATAATTGTGGCCTCATAAATAAAACATAATTTTTAACAGTCAGAGTAATTAAACATTAGAAAAACTTGCGAAGGGTTATAGTGGATTCTCCGTTACTGACCATTTTTAAAGGAAGATTGGATGTTTTTCTAAGAGAGATGCTCTAGAATTATTTTGGGGGAATTCTATGGCTTGTGTTGCTCAGGTCAGAGTAGATGATCACAATGATGGTCCCTTCTGGGCTTTGACTCTATGAATATGAATCTATACATTGAATGAAAATTAAAATGTGCCCAGAATGCATTTTAATGAAATTATTTTTGCAGTTATAGAAACCATAAGTTCGAAGTATGTAATCCACACGCAGGGCAGCACTGGCCCAATCCTGCGACTTAAGTGGGAGTTGGGAATACTCAGTAGCTCTCAAGATTGAATTCATTGAGAGAAGCAGAGACAGTCCAGGCTATAATTACAACACGTGAAAGGCTGGAGAATGAAACATATTATGTTGTATTTTCACTTCAACTGTATATTGATAAGAATTCCCCCTACTTGTCTCTTTCTCACCTTATACATTTCTCTAATGAGTCTTTTGGGTGGGTAAAAAGATTCTTGGTGTCTCTCCAACAGGGAGTGAAAACACATAATGCCATAAAGATACAGACAAGCCCTGATAAATTAGAAGCAATGAGATGAAATTCAAGGGTGATTTTGGACTGAATATCAGGAAAAGCTTTCCAACAGTGAAATGTTATACGGGACACAAATGCTAAAAATGTGGTCTAGGGAATAATCCTACATTAGTAGGGGGTTAGGCTATGTTACATAATAGCTTTTTTACACTTCTGAATGTTTTATCCTATGAAACTAAAAGCACCAGTTAATGTATTTGTGTATTTTAAATAAAATGGCCCCCAAAGGTCCCTTAACAATGACAACGGAGTAGGCTGTTGGATTTTCCATTATACACCAAGATGACTTTAATGTCAATAAATGTCATGATGCTTAGTTATCTGACGGCAGAACATTTTAGGTGGTTTATAATTTTGTCCTTTTTTAAAAAGACAATAACACTGGATTAGACTTCAAAATAAACTAGTGTGTTTTATTCAAGAGTATCTATTACTTCAGGATTAATTGCAGGGTGACATGTTGTGGTATAACCTTTAAATAAACTCCTATATCCTGAAAGCACAAAAATGTCTTGTAAATGGAAATCTGTATGTCATAGAATGATAATATATCCCATTCTTTTCAATTTTCATGCAGAATTATATACTGTATGCAGTATATTCACTGTGTGTAAATGATCTAAATATTCATCTATTTCACATGAAAACATAATAAATCCAGTTGGTTTAAGGCTAAGAAATGTCCAAGATACTGAAAAATACTAATTAAATTTCTTAAACAAAAGATTAGTAGTAAACAAAGAAAACTCCAGCAGACAATAAGTGGTGTATTTTATAACAATTATTGTTTAAAGTACAAGGATGAATTTATCAAAGTTAATTATTTTTACTTCTTTGTAATAGTGCTGTATAGGTTCTTGATATAAAAATAATAGTTCAGCAATTCAGCTTAACTAAATCCATTTGCTATAGTAGCTCTGTACTCTGTCCATCTTTCTGTCTTTATTACATCATTTTTGAACTTTGATTGCATTATTTGAGCATGGATTGCTATAATGCTATTCTGCACCACTGTGATGGATTTAGTTTTCATTTTGTTCTCAAAAATAGTCTAGCTATAAATGTATCTCTGTTCTCTGATGAGGCTCACAGTATAACTGGTAAATTTTCAAGAGGAAAAACGGTCATGTATCTCCCAAGAGAAAACAATAAACCCTCTGAAGCAGAATAACCTCTTGGCTGCATTCATTTAAAGGGTGACACATATGCTAGGGAAAAACTTTCTAATATATCAGACTTAAGATTTAAATCCATTCCATTTCTACATATATTCCATATTAACTTTGCCTCTCCGCTAGAGATCAGATATTTATGTACATTTTAAGGGCTTTCTCATTAACAGTCCTTCTTTTCCGTTTTGCCCTGGCAGTGGAGTCATGGACCCTGATTTAGGAAAGCATCCCCCTTTAGGAAAGCAGTTCAATGTGTTGAAGTGCTTTCCTGAATCAAGACCATAATGTTAAATTTGTAACATCACAGTAATTTCAGTGGCTACAGAATAATATCCTATGTTCAAGATTATGGGTGAAATCCTGGCTCCATTGGAGTCAATGGCAAAACTCCCATTGACTTCACTGCAAGATCAAGCAAAATGAGAAACTTGTCTGTGAGTGACATCAGTCTCATTACAGCATAAATCTTGAACAGCAGCAGGAAATATATTGGGGGAGGGAGGATTTGGCCAAGTATATTGAGACACCTTTGGATTTTATTTTATATAAAATTAGTGTGGACTTTACTTAGTTGGGGTTTAGTCTATACTATCTTTTAGGCAAGGTGATCAGATTGAATGCTGTCTTCAACAAGAGCTCATCAGTGTTCTTTCCAACAGCAAAGTCTCAAATGGTTTAGCATGAGGAGTTTTTAAAGAGCTGAGTTAGCTTCTTTGTTACCTTTCTTTCTTAGCTGACAACTTCATCACAATACATCCTTGTTAGACGATCTCACTGATTTGAACATTGGTGAATGAGTATCAACCTTCATTAGGTCAAATCAAACAGACAATCCTATATCTATACCTTTCCTGTAGGAAAAGGTTTATACTTTGAGAAGGAAGGGGGAAGGTCAGCTGGTATTTGGCTTGAAATCTGAATTTATTACTCTATGAAATTAATAGCATCCAGAAGTTGAACATATGGCATCCATATCTATGGTACTATATATGCTTGATGTCATGTTGCTGCTTAAGTTTTGGGAAATGCACTTTTTAAAAAGTTTAGCTATGTTGTGGGCTAAACCTTTCAAAACCGAGTGAAACAGAACAGGTTTAATTTGGCCTGAACATTTATTATCCCTGGTATTTGCAGGCCCACATACGAATGCATGTTTTTCATTAGCTTTGCATTTCACACACAGCCTAATTTCATTTATTCTCATTTTATGCCCCTGCCAGACCACCGCTCTTGATAAGGAGAGGCAGGTTTTCCGACGAAGACGCAACCAGGATGTGAGGGGACGTTATAAGACTCAGCAAGCTCCACCTGAACTCAACTCTGAATCGGAAGACTATTCACCAAGTTCATCCGAGACTGTTCGCTCACCTAACTCACCCTTTTAATAAAACACTTTTGCTCAAAGTCTTGGCTTAACCCTTTGAGATTCTGAAAATCCTCCAAACCTGTGTGAAACGGTTACATCTGATCTATCTAGCACTAATGCTCGAATGATGGAACAGAAAAGGGTGTTTACAGTATCTTTGTAATAATAATTTCCTAACTGACTGAAATGATACTTGTGCTCTGTCTAGATTGTGACTTGCTGCTAATATGATCCTCAAAGGGTTAAGACTATTTTGCATTTTTTTAAGATAAGAGCAATGAATGTTTTCATCAGTCATGCTAGGACCCGCAGTTTGTAATTTTAGCACATGTTAACCCTCTGAGTGCATAGTAATCTTTAACCTTGATGGCCCACACTAGGGCTTTATTGATTTATATGCACATATCTTTCCCCCCATCTCCTTAGTTCTTTTCCCAGTGTTCTGGCCAAAACAATATTCAAATGCTACTCTGTTTGAGAGATTGCAAATGGGAGTTTTTAAAAATCTTGTTTTAAAGCAGCGTATTCTAAACTTCTATGATATTCTACCACAGAGGGCTGACCATTATTGGTAGGTGCCATACAGGATAAGTGGAAAATTGGTGGTAGGATTGCCTCATAACAATCTACCTAAGGTGACGTGACAATACCATCAAAATTGTTGCTTCCACATTATTGGCTGCTAGCGGCTGTCGTGTAGTAGTGGCAGAGTCATGAGAAGTGGGTGAAGGACACATTCTATCATGCTTTGGTATGTAAAGATCTAATTCTAAAACTTTCCCTGGCCACACACACAAGAATGTACAGATGTGGAAGAGCAATTAGTTTCTCTGGAGCATTGGGATTTTGAAGAGGGAATACTCCTCTCAACACAATCATGTTTTTTTCATAAATACACTGAGATTACTACCAGGAGAGAGACTTTTAAGAGAGAGAGATGAAAAATCCAGCATTAAAGGAAAGAGAATTACCCTTACAATAGTTACAATATTTATAAATTGGGGGAAATACCTGGCATGTTAACATTTAAGAAAAGCCTTTGGGTGAAATCCTGCTGTCCTCATTGACATCAATGAGAATTTTGTCTTAGAGTGGAAAAACTAAAAACTATTCATCTAGCGGATCTGTGCTATTATATACAGAGGGTGTGTGTGTGTGAAAAACACACATGCGGGGTGATAAACCTCAAGTCAGTGTGATAGCATTTCATTTCATCCTTGTACAAAGAAAAGCCAATTCACAGAGAAGTTATACTTCATAAACTTTTGCTTCAAATAGGATCATTTGAGTGAAAACAGTCCCATATTCTCACAAAAGTGGCACTAGTTGAGTGAAAAATGACACATTTCCAAATTTTGATTTTCAAAATTATAAATAAATATAAGACCCGAGCAGAAAATATTAACTTTGATGTTTCACATGTTGGTTTTACATTTTGGGGCTGTGCTCACAGAACTCCCATGGAAAACCATGAGAATTCTGAAGGTGAGGGTCTTGTAGGATCCAGCCTACTATTGATTTGCGTTCCTAAAGTACCAGTCACTGGAGTAGCCAGGTGCCATCTTTTTCTGAAATCTAAAAAGATTCACTGAAAGACATGTGTGTAAATAGTTTAGGTCAATTCCTTTCTCTTCTCTACTCTCTTTAGAATGTGCCCATTTCTCCTTATTCCCAGTGTAAGGTTTTTATATTTCAAACATTTAACACATTTTGAACCAAGGGAACCTCATTTCACAAGTTTTTATTCAAGTGATGGAAAACATTGATTAGAGTTCTTTGGTTTCGATCTATCCATTTGATTGTGGGGGAGGTCCCTGATGGCTCTGCATAGCCCCATTGACTTTAGTGGGATGCAGCACACAAGTGTAAGGATCTCAATCAGATTACAGGATTGAGGCCTTTATTGGCAACTGAAGCATAATTAACAGAGGAACACTGGTTAAAGTATAAAATTAATTGTGCCCCAAGCAGAAAAACTCATCAGGTTTCTGGGGAACTCCATAGGGGTAATGGGATATGTAGCTACAGCACAACTAAACGTCAGAGTTTGGAGTGTGCTTCCTGGCTATTTTGCCTCCCTTGTCAAGGTCAGGGGAAAGGGCGGAAGAGCTATATAGTGGCAGATCATCTGACCCTGCACAACCACCCCTAAAAAGTCACTGCACAAAGAGATTTCATGGTAGGTATGAAATCATCTTGGTGTCACCCCATTGGGCAGCAGTACCAGAGCAATTGCATTACATAAGTGTCCTCTACTCTGGCGAAAGAGTGGGTAGGATTTGGCCCACAGTGAATCAATGTTCACAGCTAGGTCCTCAGCTTGTCTAACTCAGTGTAGCTCCTTTGAAGTCAATACCGACTTACAGCAGCTTATATAGCCCCTCACATTATAATACAGCCTTCCCTTTAGAACAGATGCAACTCGATGCAAATATAAAGATATTTATATGGCAATCAGAAGTGTCCATTAATAACACGTGCTTTTTTGACTATCAGCAAAACGTTGGCAGTTTCAAAGGAACAAGGACAAAGTTCGTTCGTTCTTAATTAAATAGAGGAGTTGGGGAAAAAACAGGTATGAAACATGCTTCATCTCATGAATGTGTAGTGTCATTTGAGATCTTCCTATCACCTTTGCTTTTGTTTTAGACTCCAGGCCTATCATTAAAATAAGATGTTTGGCTCCATCGTACACCATATTGTACCACTTAAAACATATATAAAAATAACCCCAGCCCCTGAAATTTCCACTCATCCCTTGCAAATTCTGATCTTTGGCTCATGTTTTACTGACATAACTCCTATAACATTTTACAGTTATATTCTTTAGGCCCCTTCAAGAATGTGCACCAAATTGTTGAATGGGGCCTTTTCATGGTTTCAAGAAAAACGATCAGAATATTTTAACAGTTTTAAAAGAGGGGGTATCAGGATTATAAAATTAAGGTTTCAGATAGTTAATGGTTGATGCTTGTTTGCCAAAGAAATACAAGGCCAAATTTTGCCTCTACTTACACCTTTGTAACCCCACTAAGTTCCTGGGTGTAACTGAGACCAGAAGGTGGGACCCTTAGAATATCTAAACTTTAGTCAAAGAAACTGAACAGATTGGGGCTAACAGACAGTTTCTAATATGAATGCACTTAAAAATCTAATATGAGAGCATATGGCATAGTAGTCATTTTACTGTAAACCATCCAATAGCTTCACTTTACACGTTATATTGGTGCTAAACATTAAACTAAAACAAAATAGAAAATATGCATTGTATTTACAGACTGTAAATGCACCACTTCATTATTTTTTATGCATGTTGCTAACTGTCTGTCTCTTCTGGTGAGTTTACCTGCAGTAAACTAACTTTATGGTAAATGCAATACTCATCTGTGATGGTGCCCTTCCCATCTTTGTGCATTTTGAGTATTGTGCTGAATAAATTTAGAATGTGATTGATCATGTGAAAAGGGAAATCAGCAACCCCATTAGATATAATCTTATTAGCATTTATCTACAAAAATATCCAGGATATTATAGTTGTACTCAGAGGGTTAACAGAAAAGCACAAGGCATGCTGATTACATTGGTGTATCCAAACTGCTTTGCTTTTTTAGCCAGTGTTTGCTAATTTTTCAGAAAATTCTTGGAAAATTTAAAGTTTAAAATAATTTAAGTGTTGTTGTTCAAGGAATTTCTATAACCAAATTAATCTTATTTTTAGTTTAACTTATCACAGGAATAATATGTATCATTAACGCAGTGTAAGTCTGTAGTTATAAATTTTATTAATTCCACAAGTGATTCAAGATTTTTTTTAAGTACTTAATATAGAGCTTACAATGGTGGCATAGGTGACTGAGACTGTCTTTCTTTTTGGTAAACAAACAATATTGTGTAAATCTTTGTAGATGAGAACTGTTCATATGAATGAACACACTTTTTTTCTTGACATTGTAGCAGAAACTGTTTACTTGTTGATGATCAACCAATACATTAATTTGCTTCAGACTGTTACAGGGGAAAGTGAGACTCCAGTCATTGAAAATGTTATTGCTTTACAGTAGCCCTCATCTAATTTAAATGTGGTGCATACTACAATAAGCAAAGCCAAACCTGTGAATAAATTACTCAAAAAGCTTGGTGGTTCTGTATTAAGTGGAGTGCTTACATATAATAGCGTTGTAGCACTGAGGCTCGTCAGGTACTGTTGAAATTGAAATATATATATATATGAGCTAGAATGCAATCCTTTACTCTCTGAGGCATATTTCATTTCTTTCTTTCTTTTTAAAGAAAAATTGGTTCTGGGGGTCGCAATGCCACAGGTCAAGTGCATTAAATCACTGTTATTTGCTGCCCCATGGTACACATTAGCAAATGGCATCCCCTGTATTTAGTTTAAATTGTGGGCAGGGAGAGGTTTCCTAATGTTATTGCAGTGCCCTCTAGCAGTGTCATGACTAAGGCTGTGTTAGTATTTCCATTCTAAACTCCTAATCTCAATGGTTTTTAGTTTGATCGTAAAAATATGCTTCGGGCGGATATGTGGCACATGATTCCTCATCCCAGAGTGATTCTTCTCCTAAAATATGAGGGAAATCGGCTTGGCCCTTTTGACATTTATGTCCTAGAAGTATGTACAAAAAAAGGGGAGCTTGCTTTGGGCCATTTTTGTGTGGATAATTCAAACATGGCATGGTTTTCACACAAGTTTTACAGGCTTGGACTACAGCGTTGACAGATCAAAACTTTTGGGTGCTTAGAAAACCAGTAAGAAAACTCGGTTGTTGAGAGAGGGGCTATTCCAGCAATTTTATTGCAACAAAAAAAAATAGTTTTTTCAAGTTCACATGGTAATAGTGTGTATTCTTCCTGCTGCGTGCTGATGGAATCGTACAGTTTAAGGCCAGAGGTCATCTAGTCTGACTTCCTGCATACCACCGGCAACCACCAACACCCAGCCTCAGGCAAAAAAGCCTCCCGCCGCCCCCCCCCCCCG